TCCTAACTTTGAAATAGTGGCAAAATTTGTGACACAGACTGAGGGGAGGGAAGGAAGAGGGTTAAGGTTCAGCTATAACTCAAACAAAGCTCAGATCTGACTGTCTGTCAGGTTTCCTAAAAATGCCCTAATTGATTCATAAGTATCGAGCCGAGTTTCAATACAAAGCCAGTCATTTATTAGGAGCGCCATTAGGCCTTTTTGCAGTCAGATCTGAGCTTTGTTTGAGTTATAGCTGAACCTTAACCCTCTTCCTTCCCTCCCCTCAGTCTGTGTCACAAATTTTGCCACTATTTCAAAGTTAGGAGTTGACCAACAGTTCATTTAGTGACCAAAGTTACAAAGGCACTGAAAACAAAGCAGGGCTTATGATTGGTTTTCAACCTTACGACCGTTGCTGCTGCATCTCCAGGGTCCAAATTTGGACCCTTTGACCACTGACTTGCATTTACGACGGTCACAACGTCCTGGCGGGGTCACGCCATCCCCTTTGGAGACCTCCTAACAAGCGGAGTCATTGCGGAAGCCAGATTCACTTAACAACCGCGTTACTGACTTAACAACTGCAGTGATTCGGTTAACAACTGTGGCGGGAAACGTCGTAAAACGGGGCAAAGCTCGATCTCTCAATTTCTCACTTAGCAATATGAATTTTGTGGTCGTAGGTCGAGGACTTCCTGTACGGAAAAGGGAATTTAGATTCCTTGGTGAGTTGGTGGGTGAATCGGCACCCCTTGGTCCCCTTGTCAGGTTTCTCACCCTGGTCTTAAAAGATGCATTCAACGTGCTGTTAATAATCATTTATTTTTCCTATATCTTTTCAGGAAATGGTTGCAGGAAGAAGACGAAAGCAGCTAAGCACGCCTGTGAAAATTGGCAAATTATCCAATTTATTTTACTACGGTGGACAGAGCAAGACGTGGAAAGCTGTAGATATTTTTTTTTCCCCTCCCTTAAAAAAAAAATATCTATGTGCTTATTAACCCCAGACAAAGGAAGCTTCCTTTCCACCGTTCTCTTTAACAGTTCTCTTTTAACTATGTTTGTCTTTATTGTATAAAATGTTTGATCACAAATTGAAAACAATTGTGCTCCTGGATAAAAACCGAATGGTCCTTATTTGGTTATTTTAAGTCACTTTGGAAAATAGTTTTTTTTTTCCATTTTAACAGGATTCCGAGAAGGATAATATTCAGCCCAGGTTCTATTTGTCGTTGTTGTTGCAAAGAGTTAACTATAGTTTTAAAAGTTCTTTTTGTTTTGTATGATACTTGTCGGAGTTTTACCCGGGACGGGGAAAAGATTAAAAAAAAAACACGTTAAGAAAATGTCATTTGCAAATGTGGTTTTCTGTCCTACGATTGAACTGTTGTTGTTTTTTGTGTGATTTCAGCAAAGAGGAATCCTGCATTTTGCACTGTTCTTTTGCTCTTGCAAAACTTTTAATCACGGAGGAGGAGGAGGAGGAGGAGGAGGAGGAGAAAGAGGTGAACGACATTTAAGCAATTTCATTTTCAACGTTTCCTTTTTCTCTTTGCCAATGATCCTTTACGCTGGGTTGGAAGAAGCTGGTTTGGCTGTTGTTACTGGTGATATTCTTAGATAGTGAATTATAGTTCATCCTGTTTCTGTTTATCTTCGAGAAGGGATGGGGGGGGAGTGTGTATGCACACCCACCTATAATTAATAGCCCTTGTACAAATGTTAGGTTAATACCGAATCTGCTGAGTTGCATTGAATTTTATGCCGGACTCTGGCAAGATATTTTCTGTATCTTCTGTTTTCTTTTATATAAAAAATCACTGAAGAGATAAACCAAATGACTAGAGTGATGTTTGCTTTCAATACTCTGCTTTTCTCTCTCATACAGATACAGATTAAGTCCCTCTGGGGAGGGACCTTGTAGGTCATCTAGTCCAACCCTCCAAGCAGGAGACCCTACCTCATTTCCCACAGATGGCAGTCGGCATTCCGACTAGAATGAATGTATGAGGGTGTTTGTTGTTTTTAAACTGTTTTCTTTTATCGTTATGTGTTTTTTTTTTCTTATATTGTTTGTAAGCCGCCAGGAGTCCTTCAGGATTGGGTGGCATATAAATATGTTTAATAAATAATAAATAAAGTCTCTTCTTGAAAGCCTCCAGGGATGAAGCTCCCACAACTTCCAAAGGCAACTTCTGTTCCATGGGTTGATGGTTCTCCCTGTCAGGAAAGCTTTCCTTATTTCCAGGTTGAATCTCTCCTCCTTGAGTTTGCATCCGTTGTTCCTTGTCTGGCCTTTGGGCCCTTTGGAAAATAGCTTGGCCCCCTCCTCCTCTCTGTGGCAGCTCCTCAAATATTGGAACAAATATTGAAATATTGATTAAACGCCTGCAGACGAAAACGTATGAAGAATGGCTGCAGGATTTGAGTTTGGCCAGTCTAGAGAAAAAGGACTAGGAGGGACATGATATCAGTCCTCCAGTATTTGAGGGGCTGCCACAAAGAAGAGAGAGTCAAGCTATTCTCCAAAGCAGCAGAAGGCAAAACAAGAAACAATAGATGGAAATTAATCGAGGAGAGAAGCAACCTGGGATTTAAGATGAAACTTCCTAACTGAGTACAATTAAGCAGTGGAACAGTTTGCCACCAGAAGTTGTCGGTACTCCATCACTGGGTGTTTTTTTTTAAAGAGACTGGACAGCCATGTGTCTGAAATGGTATGTAGGGTCTCCTGCTTGAGCAGGGGGCTGGACTAGAAGACCTCCAAGGGTCCCTTCCACCTCTGTCCTGACTGATGGCCTTCCCATGGGAACAAACAGATGAGGGTTCATGGATTCTGGGGGAATCAGACGAGCTTCATGGTCATATGAAAATATATCAAGAATGGTCGCAGGGATTGGGCATGTCTGGGTTAATGGAAAGTAGTGTCCGCCGTGCCTCATTCAGTATCCGAGAAAGAAAAACCCCCAACTCCGTTTGAGTAGAGATAAAAGGTACTTTTACTGGACACGAAATGAAAACAGCGAAAGTGAAGCAAGAATCTGAAGCAAAAAAAGTGTGAACGTCAGTGACGTGCGGTGAGGTTTATGGCTGGTGAGGCAGCAATTTTTTTTTTAGACTTGTGGACTTCAACT